ACTCTGTAGTATGCTTTAATATTGGGTTACCTAGCCTAAAACCCAAACACTACCTTTGACCCTATAAGGTAGTATTCGTCACAGACTAACTTCGTCTAAAGTAACATTGAGGACTTGAGAACACTAGACAGACGTTTCGTACCAGTATGAGATTTCTCAGCAGTACGCATTAATCACCCCACCAGGGCCAAACTCACCACTTTCAGATCTCATGGTGAATACGTTCTCCATTCAACCTCTGGGTCAGCATTCAGTGGTCAGCAGTTTCCTACTCTTGTCAGTTTGCCAATACATAGTACTTCTCAGTGGTTCTCTAAATGATACCAGTTTTGCTATAGAAACTACTTTAAAGGTAGGATTCCAATGGAGTCTTACGTAGTTCTACTACAAGCGGTAAGAAGCAGTCAAAAACTAAGATTAGTTCTTAAACACAGTTAAAAAAACGATATGTAATGTAATTTTCGTTTATCTCTATAATAAAAAGGCTGACTTGCAGAAGAAGAAACTACACACTATCAGAATATTCAGTGTTGAAAGAAACACTTCATGTAATTTTTCATCTCCATTTGAAATCAAAGCATTCGGGTAAAATATTCAATGTTTGAAGTAAAATGAACACCCAGTCAACACCTTGGTCTCGTAAACCGATTGGTGGAAAACTGAGTCTGTAACCTCAATGAGCGTGGATTTGAAGCATGACGTGATTCAGCTTTCAATTCACCTCTCTTCAATCATAAGCCAGCACAAACATTCAACTGGTATTTATTCTAAATGATAGTGAAAAAATAAAAAAAATTTCACTAGAAATTGAATTTCTCAGCATCGTATAATCACATCTACTCATTAAGGTATTTTCCTTGCATGTTCTGAATAGAACTCAATCACAAGTTATGATAGTGATGAATACAATATTTTGCTGGTCAAAAGACTTCAAGACATTCTAACAAAAAACTGATTTACAAGTATCCTTAGTTCGCTATTTTTGTTATGCTTGAGTATTCATTAGCAGCAACGTTGCAACTACAGGCGGCAAAAGCACAAATGAGGATGTCAAAGCCAGGATCGGAAACACAGCAAAACAGGACTTCCTTATTCTGAAATAATCAATATAGAGATCTACTGAACTAAACTACATTGCACTGCACTCAGCATAAAGCGTGAACAGCATCTAGATTTTCAACACTTCGAGGTGATGGTTGAGAGACTTGACGCATTATGAAAAGCATTTCCAACAAACTGCAGACATGCATCACATCAACAGCTGCCACCTACACTCACTCGATACTGACACTGAAGTTCAGTTCAGATGACCAGAATAATAAGAATAAGCAAGGAGTAAGTCTGACTGACTGACTGACTGGCTGGCTGGCTGGCTGGCTGGCTGACTGGCTGGCTGGCTGGCTGGCTGGCTGGCTGGCTGGCTGGCTGGCTGGCTGGCTGGCTGGCTGGCTGGCTGGCTGGCTGGCTGGCTGGCTGGCTGGCTGGCTGGCTGGCTGGCTGGCTGGCTGGCTGGCTGGCTGGCTGGCTGGCTGGCTGGCTGGCTGGCTGGCTGGCTGGCTGGCTGGCTGGCTGGCTGGCTGGCTGGCTGGCTGGCTGGCTGGCTGGCTGGCTGGCTGACTGTCAACGAACCAAACAACCAACCAACCAACCAAGAACCCATCACCCAACAAATATGCAGGACAAAGTGTAGATGGATTGGATTGGACATACACTGAGAAGACTATTCGGAGACATGATGCTCCAGGCCACACCGTCTAGTGGAAAACGATGAGTTGGGTATTAGAGGGTGACATGGAGGAGATGGTGTGGGGAAGAAATGAAAGTTTGTTGGCAGTCATGGGCAGTCGTGGAGGTAGGTTGAAAAGACTGGAGAGAAGAGAGTGAAATGGCGACGTGCTACCGAACCCCTATGTTTCACTAAGAACCCAAAGGACAAATAATAATAACAATAATGCTAATGAGTGTTCATTAATTCCTATAAACTACCGATGTAGAGGATAAACTTCAGCTGTCTTTTTATTCAGTGTATAGCATGAATCTTAGATAAGTGCCATTAGTCGCACTATTGTATTCATTCTAAAATGTATCTAACTAATGTTGTAATTGATAACATTATTGTATAGCTTGTTTCAAAAGCCTGCGATTGATCGCCTTCCCATTTATGTATCGAATAAAGTTTTGAAATACTTACACCTTGATTGATATACATTACTTTGATTTATCTCATTTTTAGGGCTTAAAATTGGTTATTTCATTATTATAAATTATGATGGATTGTGGCTACGTCATTTAGTTGTGTATATACGAATGAATGAAATCACCTGAAATATATAAGTGTAAAACTTGGACACTGTAATAGAATTTAATTCCATGTGAAATTTATTTATTTGATATACAGTACACAGTTAGTGTTACAGTATTATTTACTTGATGACGTTTCAAGCATAAATTATCATCACTCATAATCATATCAATGTAATCACACTTTACTTTTGACATATGATTTTTACAGTCCTGTCATCTCATACTCTTTGTTTCTATTGGTAGTAAAGTTTCCCATATCTCTAGTATAGGTGTTGCATTATTCCTGTTATATGGGTTAGGCGTTGATTCAGCAATCCACCTCTTTCTCTCTCTACCTAACTATATTGATGGTTTCATGGTTTCATCCCACCCTATTGTGCGGTTGCGTGTTAATGCATACATTGCAATAGCCGAGTTCCCTTCTAGGCTATTCATCTTATTCGGGTCTGTCATTCTATATTTCACTAAATTCCTATATTCGGCTATTCTAATTAACCTCGACCTACTAGTTTGACCTCAAAGTCATTACATGGAGTTTGATAGGTTAGATTATTTCGCTTAATTGGTTCTATCGGATGCCCAAGCCAGCTGACAAAGCTTATCTCTGAGTGATTTTGCAGGTTTCAATGTCACCCTAATTCCACTCTTGTTGACAATCGTAAGTAAATTTTCTGATGTACCTTCCTTGTAGGGTAACACAATATGAACTCCTACAGTTTACTAAAAAAATTGTACGAGGACACAAGAAACGAGATAATAACGACAACAGGAGCAGAAGAAAGTTCACAAACTCCATTGTGTTACCATATAAGGAAGGTACAACAGAAAATTTACGTACGATTGTCAACAAGAGTGGAATTAGGGTGACATTGAAACCTGCAAAATCAAGATAGTAGTGGTCATTAGCTGAATGGCAGCAACGCTCTCAAGGTAATCTAACACATGCCACCTAGACTTCCAGCTGGTGTCAGAACACGTGTTTTATACAGCAGAAATTATGGGGATTTGAGCTATTAACCCTAGTTTTTGTATCCAAAAGATGTTTGGAAATTATCTCTCTTTCGGTAAAGTGAGACTTAATCAACACCTTTCGATCGTTTCCTGATTCTTCGCCGCCTTCATTTACATACTGTGTCTGTTTGGCCTAAGTTTATCCACTTACTTCGTCTTTTAGTATTGCGTAACTTTCATTTTTCCAATTTGGTTGTCAAATTTTCTGTATTATCATGCTGTTCTCTTGGTTCTTATCATCATCTGTATCCTAACTGCTTTAGTTTATACTCTGTCTTAACATGACCTGTGGCGTCAACCAATCGGAAGTGAAGCTGGTGCCAGCTGAAGACCTCGATGGATAGTTACCGTAACAAGTGAAGTGTTAAAAGGAGTAAACTGTGGACTATAGACGTTTGACTCACCAACTGAATGAATAACACAATTCTTGAGACCCTTGTCACTGGCTGACAGATCCATATGACTGGTTCAATTTTTCTACACATTCGTTAAGCTACTTATCTTAGAGTAAAGACTGAAGAAGATCTCATTGAAAACACTCATGTTCGCTTAAATGTCTTGCTCTAATCTACACGATGAGAAGTTTTAAAATTCATTATAGAATCGCTATGAGATCCCCACTAGCTCCACTATTAACAGACTGTTTTACTGCCAGTTTGAAATTGACTGTTGAAGCTTTTCAATGGTACAAAAAGTAAGTGGACGATACTTTTATTATCTGCATTCATCAGTATGCTTTGAATTACATTCTACAGACATTCAGTAGTTGCAGTTCAGCAATAAGATTCACTCATTAGGTTGAAAATGCGTCGAAAATCTACTTTCTCAACATATAGCTGATGGCAAATTAAGAAGATCAATTCGCAAAAAAACCAATGTGAAATGATCGGTTGACGAACTTTCATAGCTGGGTGTCTATGAGTTGCAAACTGATTATGATCTTGTCTCTTGCCACTTGCATAAGAAAAATTTGCAGCATCAACATGTTGGAAGAGGAAATTTCTGTTGTAAGGAACATCTTCGTTGTCGTTGTTATTGTTGTTGGTTGGATATCTTCATCACCACGGTCTTCTCTACTCCCACCTCAAGGAAGTGCCGTCCTCACTGCCCTGCTATGCCATGCCCCGCCTCTTCTGACAACTTACTAGTTTCCCCCTGTAGATCTTAGAGTTTGTGGGATATAAGATATTAGACATAATTCAACATCGACGAAATTCAAATCTTCTTGGTCTTTTCATCGGCCAAACAACGTATGCCCTTCTTCTTGCTCCTCACAATTTGCTGCATGATCCAGTCCAGTCCAGTCGATCACAATCAGGACGATAATCGGTGATAGTAGGCGGCAACCTTGTCTTACTCATGTCTTCACTCCAAAGGCATCACTGAGGTTTCCATTGTGAATTCCTTGGTAAGTAGCGTCGTCATATAGCACATAGCTGCTGAATGAGGCAGATGAAGGTTTGTGGCACTGCAACCGTAGTTTTGAAGCAGCTGCTCGCTAAATTACTTCTCGATCAACGCTGTTAGCGGCTTTATCAAAGTTGATGAAGTTGAGGCAAAGAGTTTATTATTCATTTTTTAATTGTAAAAATTGTTAATTACAAAAATTTTCACTGGATTTTAAGCAAATATGTATTTGTTTCTTCCATTTTTTCTTCCTCTTTTCTCACTTGCATGTATACAAGTTTTGCTCAAATTGTCGCGATTCTATAAGGACTGTAAATCTAAATAAAAGTGAAAACGATTATGGATTCACGTATGTTTATACAAGCTATGGATGCTTAATTAATCAGGTAAACGGTGAACACAAACATTTCAATCAGTATATTTTTGATGAATATGCAAAATTCCGATTATGCTCAACACTTGAAACCATCTTATGTACATGTTGGTTTCTATCTAGTGATACATACAGTATGAATGTTGCACCAGTGTTCAACAAGCTAACATTATATTTTGTATACTACAGCATCAAAATTTGACCTGAAAGAATCAAATAACTTGAGCATTCGGGCAAATGATTTGCAAAGGAAATTTTTATTTGTAAATGACTTAATAACAGTATGCCAACTATGTAAAATTACTTTCAAATAATCCTGGAGAATATAAAAGTCAAATGGACAATTTGTTGTTCATATCATTTGTCATAGTCACAAAAAGATTTTCAAACTACGAGGAAGGTCGGATATCTGTGGCAGTTTATGGCATGTTGAGTCCAGAAGTACTCAACAGAAAGCAAAACTTCGCTATCCAATCTGATGGAACAGTATATTTTTTATGACTTAGAAACTGCTTAGCTGACCGAGTCAGAGAGAGTTTCTCCTTGTTTACTGGAGATCAGTAGTCTTCTCTATATGCTTTCGGTAGGCAGGCGTATGAGCATGAAAACTGGCTATCAAGCCAGGAGATTTTACCTACGGATCAAGAATGGGATATGCGACGGTATCTGGAGGATAACCTAGGCACACTTCGTTTCGTGTGTTGACGCCGAAACTGTCCTTACGGCCAACAGCATTACAGTCCTGGTATCGATGAGGTGTAGGTGAACAAGATCTGATGAAATGCTAGGCACCACAATGCCAGCAAGGCGATAGAGGTGTCCTCTTTGAGGGTCGGTTGGTACAGCATGAGTTACTGGCCCGATGAACAGGTGGGGTAGGACCAGGGGGTGTGACCAGAGGGTGATGTGGAGGAAAGAGATATCTGGAGAACTGTTTGTACTTTAGAACCACCTCAGCGTCCGGAATAAAATAAACTCGCATCACGCTACAGGTTACCAGCTGGTTAATATTCTGCAGGTATGTCATTCAGAGTCCGGACTGTGGCATCGAGAGTGCGATCAAATGGGTTTTGCGGCGAAATCATGTCGCAGTACTAGTTGAGCTCAGGTGGGCTAAGCTTTTAAAATGGGAGATGTACCTTCCAGGAATCATCCTGACCAGTAAAATCCACTTTGAAATAGCCTTTGTAACGTCTGAGAAAACTGTCGAATGTCTCAGTGGCATCAGGATCGTAGTGAAATTCAGTTATGCTATTCGAGACGCTATCAACTAAAGGAACTATTAAAACTGGCACGTTTGGCAATGATTCACTATCAGAAAATTTGGATTGCGTAAGTATCTCGATAATCTTCATTTGTTATTGAAGGGAACTGCTCAACTTCGAAAAATCCACTTCCCAGTATCTCATTTCCGACGCTACTGTTATGATCTGGAAACTGCTATGTGCTATGGTTGCTAACGATGCACGGAGGCCGAATGTAAAGCATAAACATTCAACTAGTTCCTAGTTGATTCTCAACCCGATTAATCAATCCAGAAGACGCGATGGACGTGTAGAAACGTGTATTGGGGTCGAAGGATTGAAGATCCAAAAATAAAGGAAAATATATCTAATATACAGATAGTTCACTGATGAAAATAATCCTATTGATTAGCCTATCCACCATCTATCTATAGAAGTGATAGTATAAAGTACATTTTGATTGGTGCTTCTCCAGACTAGCCATTTCCTCTATCCACGCTGTACACACTAACCATAACTCAAGTATATGCACATATAAACAAACTGGATTTCTAATTCATATTACTGTTTTCATGCCTGTTAGTTAAATGCAGACTGCAACTAACATGATACAGTTCTGTATTCAGAGAATCAGTCAAGAAATCAGTCCCATCACGGTTGTACATATACCTTGTCAAGACCTATGTCAAACAGGATTTTGTCTCGATTGCCTCCATCCAACTAATATCTCTTACAGTACATTGCGATGATAAATCTCCTAGCTTAATGGCCACATTGAAAAATGACCAATTAATGTATTTATCTCATACCTTCACATGCTTTCACGTATTCACCCTGAACTCACAGACTAATAATATCTGATAATGATTAAATTTATTCCAGACAATGTGATCAGATTTTCTCTTCATTTAGTATTTAAATATTCGATAATTTTTACTGGTTTTATCCTGTGAAGAAGCGGCCCTTAACGAGGTTGAGAAAAGTCCGAAATTTATTTTTCTTACCTCAGTAGGATCTTACAAACATAATGAATGAATGTGTTATACGCACCGGCCACTTCCACCCCACCCTCTTCTGGAAGATCACATCAACTCCAATGGGTCAGTTGTTGATGAGCTATCATAACAGGGAAAAATAGTCTGATTGATTTTCGATAACTTGCACTACTAGTGGTGTGGCAGAGACAGTCTAACGTATGTCAAAGAGTTTGTAAACTGTTCAACAAAACGGTTTGTTGATTAATACGATTGAGATACATAGTCATTATAGATGGAAGGAGAAATCTGACGTAGACCTCAGTTTCTGACGACCTTTTTCTTGGTAAGAACGCTCAAGTACAATGAAACCGCTGAACTACCAAAAGTAGCTTGTTGGTTGCTGAAGAAGTCAATGATCTTTTTTCTCAGTCACACAGGCAAAAGGAGACAGATCTGCAGGCTGTAATCTGAAACGGGAAAGAAATATTTTTTTGATGCTGGGAATTTTCTGTTGCTATCCAGGATCGTATTGCTCGACCTTTGTTGACAGATTGCTTCCTTTGTGAATGCCTCGACACTGCTGGGTATATATGACGTTATATTCATCTTCGTGACTAACAGTGGAATCCACAACGTACGTTTCGTCCTAATTGTGTCTTTTCGGCCGTATGCACCGGTACTCCAGTGAGTGATGCTATCACCCCTGGGACTAGAACTCATTTCCCATTGCTCCAAACGACAAAGCATTCTCCACTGGGTCACTGGGGCACGATGGCCACTTCTTAAAAAGAATAACATTCACTAGAGTGCAGTTACATGAGGCTGACGAGTCCTGAACAGGATAAAAAGCGCATCCTAGATTCCTCCACTAGTCATCAAGATGGATAGGAACCAAATGTATGGGCTACTAAACAGATACATTCTAAATCGTCCAATTTGACTACAATCACCTAACTACTTGATGTTCTCTTGCAATTCTTTACGCGGTATTTTCTAAGACGTCTTTAGTAATGACCTCAGTAAACGTTTACCTTCTCTAAACTTTAGTCATGTCAATTTCGGCATCATTTTCATGATAAAGGAAATTGAGTTACACCCACAAAGACAACAAAAGTTGTAAATTAACAGACAGTATAACTTTGTCTTTCTGAAGGAAGAACGTCAACCGCTTCCTGGATATCGTAAATTCGCTAGGCTATAAAGAGGTTCGAACCTCGCCTAGTTAACTGGTTCACTATTTACTAGCCGGTCCTAAGCCCGGACAAAGAGGGAAGGTTGGACATAGTCCTAGAAACTTTATCTCGTAAAACCAATCCAATCGCTAAAGAAACTTCAAAGCACAAAGAAAATATAAAAAATAAACATATTCCTCTCTGGAATCGGGGAGACGATGTGCCTTCTCTCGATGAAAGCAAAAGTCAGAATGGGGACATGGAATGTCTGCATAGTGTTTGAACAGCATCCGGATTTTCAACACTAATTCAGTCAAGTATGTTAGTGCTTGCTTCGAGGTGATGGTTGAGAGACTTGACGCATTATGAAAAGCATTTCCAACAAACTGCAGACATGCATCACATCAACAGCTGCCACCTACACTCACTCGATACTGACACTGAAGTTCAGTTCAGATGACCAGAATAACAAGAATAAGCAAGGAGTAAGTCTGACTGACTGGCTGGCTGGCTGGCTGACTGTCAACGAACCAAACAACCAACCAACCAACCAAGAACCCATCACCCAACAAATATGCAGGACAAAGTGTAGATGGATTGGATTGGACATACACTGAGAAGACTATTCGGAGACATGATGCTCCAGGCCACACCGTCTAGTGGAAAACGACGAGTTGGGTATTAGAGGGTGACATGGAGGAGATGGTGTGGGGAAGAAATGAAAGTTTGTTGGCAGTCGTGGGCAGTCGTGGAGGTAGGTTGAAAAGACTGGAGAGAAGAGAGTGAAATAGCGACATGTTACTCAGGCTCTGTGTTCCACTAGGAACCCAAGGAACAAATAACAGTAATAAGGAGGTTCGAATCTGTGAAGCCTTCGCGATGAAACAAGCCACAGATGGTAAATCTAATCAGATTTTATTGTTTTCTGTCTTAACAGGTGATAACCATGAAAGAATCAAGTGAAAATATCAAACCCAAACTGTTTTCTGGTGACCTTATAGTTAAAATTGGCAATTTTGAAGTGACGAAATTGACAAAATCTCAGTTTTCACAACTACTGAGTGTTTATTTAAAAGCGAAATCTATCCAGCTCACACTTATTCAAGGTAACCAAGAAACTTTTCTGTTATATTGTTGATTGGACCAAATTGATCAGCCTCAATATTGCCAGTAATTTCATTTTGATAGTACCAACTGTTGTTAACCAGCAGTAGGATCTAAGACGTGCGTTTTGTCTCATATGAGGCTCATCAGTTTTGATGTACCCGTCTCTTAATGAGTGGTATTGTTCTCGCGAAGACTCGAACTTAGGGCCAATCGTTTTAAACCCAAGAGCGTTACCCACTAGATCAGTGAATCACACCAGCCACCTCTTATGCAACAGATGGAAACTTCTTTGTTGTTGCATTAAATTTTCTGTCATAACTTAGTGGCCTAATGAGTAACACCTTGGCATTTGAGGCTACAGGTCCTTTGTTCGAGTCGCAGTGGGAGAACCAGCGCTCACTAAGAGGCAGGTACTTGCAGCTGACGAGTTCTAAATGTGACAGTGCTCGCCTTGTGGGCTTAACCTGTGACCACCGTCAAGCAATTACCATCATTGAATCTTCAGGTAAATTCGGGGCTTCCTCATTGGAGCACATATGTCAAGAGTTATCGATGAACTCCAGCCAGTATAACAGTAAGGAATTGGAAGCATCAATCACTAAAACTAACAGAGATTTGACGACGGAAATATAGACCACCGACTTTATATACCATAAGTCAAAGAAAACCAATCACTAATAGGTTAATGTTTCTACGACCTCTTTCTTAGGTGAGAAAGTTGTGCTGTACGATTCATTTTATATGACACCAATAAATCACACATTATTTAATACAGTCAAAAATCTCAACAAGATGAGCCATCTGAAATAAAGGCGGTAATAATCCTCATTGTTTGTCGTATCAACAAGATTTGAATATTAAAATACCCTACTGACCTTCAATGATTTTCTGACTATAAGCTGATTTCTAACAAAGATGATACTTGGTTCAAACCGATGCGGAGAATGGATGCGCAAAGCAGAGGATTCTTTTACTGAGATGAAACAACTGTCCACTACTTCTAGGTTTTCAGTGGCTCTACACCTTCCAGTCAATCAGTCAAGCAATCCCCGGAAAATCCTAAAGTGAAAGAGAAATAAGTTGAAATGAATGATCGTTCACATAAAATCAGTGAATCAAAATTATATCTCTCAGGGGAAAAACGTTTCCTCATGGTTACAACAGACACTTTTTATTATCGAAAGTCACGAGGCACGAAATCCACCTATGAGTTAAGTAACACTTCCTGTTTATTAAAGCTCTAAGTTTAATTTAGTTACCTATCAAGTGAAGTCACCGTGAAAATTGGTTACCAACACAAGGCAGACTGAGGTCAGCAAAGGTATCAATAGCCATCATAGAATGCAACAGAAACAGGCGAAACAGGCTTCGGTTGATACTCTTCTAATAAATCCATCCATTTGCTTGCGGGTAGAGCATAACAGCATGTTTGAGCTCTAGAATTATCCATGTAGCGTTTGCGATCTAAGGAACGACAGCTGATTTTATGAGCTATTCGTGGTTCCCCCCGTATTGAGGTATGTGCTGAGACAAGAAGCATATGACTACTGGCAGGATCAACCAGTCTATTCACTGTAGGACACATCCGTCATTTGAACGGATATTTGTACATTGGTTTTCAGGAGAGAACGGAGCACACATCTAGGCTTTTTAAAACTAGGACGGTAAACCTTCTTATCCTGTGATGCAGCCGCATGAATGACTTCGCCCTGGTGGACAAACCACACCATTTGTTTGCACAAGCAAGCATGATTATTATCCCGATCAGCGATTGTATCAATCAGTTATGCGCAGCATGAACAAACCGGTTCCGACCTATTCGGCTTACACGACTTGTCAACACAGTATTATAGGCAGTGATATAAAGTCCTTGAGATTGAAGCTAACAACCACCATTTCCAATAATATGATTCACCCAACGAACCAGTTTTGCAGATGATAGGCTTCCAATACATCTTTCAAGATCTTTGGAAGCCATACAAAATTGCATTGGCTAATTTCTGGCAGTATATAACTTTCAGTTCGGGATATTAATATAGCCTAGGCTTTGTTATTGGATAGGCTCTGTAGGTACCAGGCAAGCCAGGGTAGCCTCAAGATTCCATTTTGATAGCTGACAGTTTAACCATGCTGCCAGTTTACCGACCAGGGTTATCTAAAATAGCTTAACTTAGTATCACTTGATCTGTCTTGTCTTATCATGAGAGATGGACAACAGTCGAACTTTTTGCTTGAATTAGAAAATTGAAAAGTTAGCAACCCAAAGACCATCGATTTGAACGTCACAGTGATGCCAACTTCTTTCAAACTACTGTCTTTATCTTCTACCATTAAGGTTAGTCTGCAAGCCATAGTTATCTCATGTAATCTATTCAATTAATGGGTAAAAATAAAATATTCAACAGCCGAAGGTCAAATGGTGCACGGGTAATTTAAAAAAGAAATGAGTCAGAAGTATTCTTAAAGCTAAATAACAGAATTGAGCAACTTTAAACACAGCGAAACAGCATAACAACATGGTTAAAACCACACAATTAACATCAATGACTATTACTACTTTTACTGCTTTCTTGTCTGCATTTTTGGATGAGTCATTTCCCAAATATCACCCAAAATGGGCGTGTATACCGAAACCATGTTAGGAGAAAACTTAATAGATTTGATTGGCCACTCTCACAACAATACATAAATTCTTTTATAACTAGACAAACAACAGTATTCAAATTATGCGCACACGTTCAATGTGTTCAATTGTGAACCACACCCTTAAGTGGAAGAGGAGATTTTTCTAAAGTCTATTATGCCAATAGTTTGCTTCCAAAGGATAAAATATTTAAGTATTAAATATACTCTGCTTTTCTCTTTCCATTTAAGTCTGCTCAAATTGTTTAAAACAAATAAACTATCGTGATGCAGGTTCAAATGTCAACGAAACTGAGAATAAGGATGATAGTAAAGAAGATCCATTGAACCCAGAACTAGATAATAGTTTAAATTTCGACACCAAGGCAACAGATAGAGTTGAAATGATTTCCTTTTTACGAACAGTATTAAACCCAAATTGTCATCCAAAAAAATCATCAAATCATAATTTAGAAGTGAAAAATGAAACAGATGAAAAGTATATTTCTGTTAATCCAACTACTACTGACAATTATAACAACCATACTACTACGTCAGAGTTAAGCCAAACACCTTTACCATGGTTACCTGGACTCCACTACATAATACCAGGTATAGGTACGAGTGGTCCTTGTGGAACACCTGATTACATACCTATATCTGAATTATTAAACAAATCTAAAACAAATGTCTTTCAAAACAGTAATTCTTCCAATGTGATTAGTGTGCAGAGCGACCATCATCAACAACAACAAAATGACTCATTAAAACAAAACCAATGTGAAGTGAATGATCAACAGACAAATTTATACTACAAAAACGATAATAATCCACTTCATAATCGAGGAATTGAATCATCTTTGACATCTTCATCAGTTTTATCAACAGCGCACATGGGAAGTTTACACGATCGAATATTGAACCCATTGAACGATAACAAAGCTCACACTACTCCTACAGAAAACGATGTTCGAATTCATTATATTCCGAATAAAGGGAAATTAAAATTTGTCCAAGAAAATATTGAACAAAATTTAGTAAGTAAATGATATAATATTTTCTTAATTTGTTCAATTTAAATGCAAATATTTATTTATTTTACAACTGCATGCATATACTGTTCATATACTGTTCAACCCCAAGGATGATGAATAATTTTGTTTGCAATGATCTTCAAGGAGAACCAAGTTTTCATGTTGAAATTTGATAGGGAACGTCAGAAACTTCAGGTTGAAAACCAATTGTAATTTGTTTTAGTGTTTAAACAATTGACCAGTGAACATGAGGGCGGTTAATTTGAATATTTCGAAATTATACAATAGTTGCCAGTTAATTTCGGGCACACTACTACTAATACTAATACGGCCTATAGTAATAGTCTAAATTAATAAGCTGGTGTATTTATCAGGAAGTATTTATTGAATCTTGTCATGTGTAGCACAGAGAACCCTTCTAACCAAACAGCTACTTCTATCGACTTAATGAAGAAGGATATATTTGTTCTCTGATGATTTAATCGAAATATGAACAACTCACTCATTTGGTTAATTTATTGAAAGCATTAATAAACTTATATCTCCTAAAAACATTTCTTGCCGTTTCTTAAGAATAAATTGATCCACAGTTTACAAGATATTTCATTAGTGAAAATGTTGGTAAATTTCATCTGCTAACGAAATGAAATTATGCCTACTCTATGGGAGGTATCAGACTGGATTCAGGAAGTACAAGTCATGTGCGGGTCGAATTGCAACGCTACACTACGCATCATCATAGAACAGAGCATGGAATGGTAGTCAACTCTCTACCTCAACTTCATCGACTTTGAAAAGGCATTCGACAGCGTCGACCGAGAAGTAATTTGGAAACTACTTGAACACTACGGAATACCAAAAACCTTTATCAACCTCATTCAACACCTATATGACGATACCATATGCCAAGTGATCTACAATGGAAAGCTCAGTGACGCCTTTGAAGTGAAGATAGGAGTAAGACAAGGCTGCCGCCTACTATCACCCACGATCTTCCTGATTGTGGTCGACTGGATCATGCAGCAAACAGTGAGGAGTGAGAAGAGGGGGATACTCTGTTTGACCGGGGAAAAGATCCTAGAAGATTTTGATTTCGACGATGACTTGTGTCTAATGTCTCACAAACTCGAAGATCTAGAGGCGAAGACTAACAAGTTGACAGAAGAGGTGAGGCAGCAAAGACTGGACTTCAAGTGAACATAGAGAAGACAGAGGTGATGAAGATACCCAACCAACGCCAACACCAACAACTACAAGCTTCAATCACCATCAATGGGAGAAACTTATAGGAAATAGCCTCTTTCACCTATCTAGGCAACATCGTTTCAACTACAGGTGGCACAGATGAGGATGTCAAAGACAGGATCGGAAAAAAAAGACAGGCGTTCATTAACCTGAAACCATTGAGGAGGTCTGCATTCAGCATCAGGAACAAACTACAGACACTCATCAACAACTGCCTACGCTCGTTACTGAATATCAAATGGCCAGAATGATAAGAATAAGCAACAAGGAACTCTGGCTGGCTAGCTAGCTGGCTGGCTGGCTGACTGACTGACTGGCTGGCAACGAAGCAAGAACCTATCGCTGAACAAATATGCAGGAGAAGGAAGTGGAGATGGATTGGGCATACACTGAGAAGACCATTCGGGGACCAAATGCTCGAGTAGAACCCGGATGGGAAACGACCAGTTGGGCGTCCGTGGCCAGGGTGACATGGAGGAGATCGTGTGAGGAAGAAATGAGAGCTTCTGGGCAGTCGTGGAGCCAGGTTCAAAGGTTTGCGGAGAACAGAGTGGAATGGAGACAGGCTACTGAAGCCCTATGTTCCACTAGGGACCCAAGGGACAAACAAAACTATAGGAGATGTGAATACTCTTTTCGACACAGGATTTATAGAATTACGCAGGTAATCGGTATTCAGTATTGCATCAGATTTTCCTACTCACTGCAACGAAACTTCCACATTACTTTTCTTAACCATTCATTGGTTATATTCTTGTAGTCCTGTGTTTCACGGTTGCTCCAAAAATATCTCTATTGCTATAAAGATTTTAGATCTGCTAAAGTAATGTAAGATTTTTGGATCCTTCTATGCTAGATATTGAAAGCTCAAGTAAGGTTACTAAGGCTTCTCAATTATCTGTAGTGCAGTACAAGTTATTCATTTGATTTTGTTCATAATTGTGTCTGTACACACATTTCAGTTATGCGTAAGCTGGTAAATAGTGACAGCGAGACAGATCATATAGTTTGTTTGAGGGTTTGCATCTACTGACTTACTTCAAGACAGTAATCATCACAGATTGACTTCATTCGAACAGCCAATAAAAATCTGAGAGCATTAAGTAGTTGTTTCATCTTAGTATAGGACTCCCTAGTTGTACACTCCTACGGCCCGTTCACATATCAGACCGATGACGTTTAGGTCCATGGTGTGGACTTTATCATTCAGCCGCTTAGTCAGATTGAAATAGCCCATCCTACCACCGATGACGACAAATGATAGTCATATTCTATCACAAATTAACTGAAGTAAGGAGGTGTGGCTCAATAGTAACGTGCTTCTTATGATAATTGAGGTTATGGGTTCGACTTCTGGTGAGGTCACAGATATCCAGTGTTTAGAAGTCTTATACTAGGAAGAAGCAGCTGTATAGTACTCCCAGGCTTTCAGTGGTTCCACTAGTGAAGTTTGTCAGTGATAAAAAATATCTTAGGGTCGTATATCGTAAATTTGCTGAAAATAATACTTTCTCGGAAATGTTTGTATATTGCACTACGTTGAATATGTAGACATCAAGAAATTTCCGTTCAAAATTTACACTTCTTTACATTCAATTATTACTGTTATTATTATTCCCTTGAGTTCCTAGTGTCATATAGGCCTTCAGTAGCACGCATCCATTGTACTCTCCTCACTGCAGTCCTTACAACCTGGCACCACGACGCCGACAGGCTTTCATTTACTGCTCAAATCATCTCCCGCATGTAACTCTCTCCACAGAAGCTCAACTCGTCGCTTCCCCTACGGATTAAATTCACAAGCCTGGTCTCAGGTATGATGTCGCCAGATGGCCTGCTCAAAGCTTGCCAAACACATACAACATTACTTCTCCATATTTGTTGGGTGAAGGGTTCTTGGTTGGTTACTTGCGAAGTCAGCCAGAGTTCCTCCTTGCTTATTCTTATTATTCTAGCCATCTCATCTGAACTTAAGTAACGAACAAACGTAGGCAGCTGTTGATGAATGGCTGTAGTACGTTGCAAGTGCTTTTCGTGACACACCACAAGTTTCTGAATCATATAGCAGCACTGACTTGACTGAATTAGTGTTGAAAATCCAGATCTTGTTGTTTGTGTTGAGTGCAGTAGATATCCACACCGATTATTTCAGATTAATGAAAGCCTGTCTTGCTGTCTTTCCCATCCTGGTTTTGACATCCTCATCTGTGCCTGTGCCGCCTGTAGTTGAAACGATGCTGCCTGCCTAGGTAGTTGTAGGCGAAAGAGACTACTTCGTTTAGGTTTGTCCGTTAATGGTGGTTGGTGCCTCTTGTCGTTGATGCTGTTGTTGGTTGGGTATCTTCATCACCTCTGTCTTCTCTATATTCACTTGAAGTCCCTCTTCGCCGCCTCGTCTATTCTGTCAACCTTTTACTTTTCGCCTGTAGATCTTCGAGTTTGTGTCACAGGACATTAGACATAAATCATCATCGTTGGCGAAATCGAAATCTTCTAGGCTCTTTATCAGTCCAGCGTTTTTCTCTAAATTACTTATCTCAGTAGGGACTACCGTTGTGTATTTCACTAAAATGTTTTTTATCTGTTGCTGTGACTCACCTCAGTTGACTGCTTTCACCTACATACTTAACCTCACCAACATTACATGATATTTGATAGATTAGATTAGTTTGCTCAATTGACTCTAGTGTATCTCCTAGCCTGCACAATCTCTCTCTGAGTGAATTTGTAAGTTTAAATGCTACCCTTATCTTAACATTGTTAAGAATCCTACTGAAACTCGTGTTTTATTTACTAACATTTGTAATAGTGTGTCGAATTGCTTGACCTCCTAGGCTGGCAGATATGCTCTTATGTAGCTACCTCGATACCGCCTGAATATTCATTATGCTGAAGCTAACTTGATGGTTTGTGGTGCACTCCAGAAGGTATGTTTCGCCCCATTTTGAAACTCGTCAGCTTGATGTAACTGCCTCCTAGTCAGTGATGTTGTTCCCACTAAGATTCGAAGCCAGTACACATCGCTTCAATCACCAGACCACTGGGGCATAATACCCACCTCTTGTGTAACGCGTAGATATTATGTAGTAATGTCCTTGCAGTGCGTGCAGTCAATTATTTAGGTGGAGTGAGAGATTGGTCACAGAATCCTTTTTTATCGAATCAATACCTAGCACGTGTAACAGGAATTATTCATCACATATTACATATGTTTGGAGGATATTACTGCCATTAAAATTAACGTTTGACCGCATAAAAGGAGACATGAAAGCTGTGTGATCACTTAGATATGAAAGTGAGCAGTAAATGCTTCTCCAAACATCATCCGGTCAATAATGCCCTATCACTCACTGATGGCTAGATCAAATAAAACAATGTAGTGTAGAATTATGCCTTGAGCGTTTAGTGCTCAAGGTTTGTTCTTATATTCATTGAAGCTTTGTTTATTGAATCAACGTCAGACATACGAAATAGTAACGCTTCGACATATATTTCAGATGCTACGAATACTTTGCTACAAATACGATATATACTCGGGAAAATAAATGGAACAATTTCGGATGGAGGGGGCGGCAATATATCAGATTTATGGAGTTAGTTACACTTGATATGAATATGACCCATAACATCGGTTTGAAATTTCCCCCACTATTGTTTAAATTAGGAAATTACTATTCAATGAATCAGTTTTGTGGGACACCATGAATTCTTGAAACTGGAGATTTAATGAAGATGGAATGGAAACCCAGTTTGTGGAA